TGTGACATGTTTTTGTAGTCTAACCCAAAGTATAACTGTGCACGTGCATCGGACCTTTGCTGTAAGCTTTTGGGTCCTAATGCATTTTTCTTGTCACATGACATTGTCAGGATCAGGAGGAACTCACCTAAACAATGGAGATCAACCTCCTCAATTTTCCTTTCCCTTTTAAATGTAATGTACTTTAGAGTGACACTTTGGTAGTTCTAAATAGAGACGTAGCCATAATTTTGCTTTATATCCAATCTGAAAGGTGTCCTTCTAGTTGTCAATTACAAAGTTTCCTGCTCTTGAACATTACTACTCCAAGCACAAAAGCAAGCATATGACTCCGTACTGACCTTCATCTGTTCCCAAATTGTGTCTTTTAAAAGCCTTGAATCCACTTAAGGGGAGCTGCTGAAACCTGAAACGAACTAAGTCTATTGCTTTATAGAGTAGATGAATGTAAAACTGAAGTATTACATTTCAGGCTCTTACTGTACTAAATATAGCAGAATTAGGATGCGGGGGAATATAACCAGAGAGCGAGTCTGGTTTTAGAGACAAGATTCTTGTTACAGACATCGATGACTATTTTGTAATACTTGGTCTATTTATGTTTCTGACAGAATATCACTGTAAATGGGCAGAAGTAAAACGTCCTCCCAATCAAGAGATTTGTTTTGAATAGCAGTGATCTTAAAAAAAAAAACAAAAAACAAAACAAAACAAAAAAACTCTCCCCCTAAAGACCACGAACTGCTAAGTACTTCTGAAAGACCCAAGTGTAAGAAGCACCCTGCATTTAGATTTTCATCTCTTGCACTCTGCGTGATTCTCTTCAAGATGCATTTAATAATGTGGAGACAAATCAGTTGAGTATGTGGAGGAAAAGTACCAGTCCATACCAGCCAAAGAAACATGAACTGAAATGCAAGTCCATGCGACCATTATAATGAATAATAATGAATGCATTACTTACAGGCAGAGTAGTGGCTTTCGACTTGATAGATTTCTTGACAAGTTTACAGTTTTTTGACAGTCATCAGATGAGAAATGTAGCATGTATTTAAGTATATTTAATTTACTTACAAAAAAAAAAAAAAAATCATAGGAATGTTCAGGTCCTAAGAGACTTTGGGGGATCAACTGAGTCCATCTCCTCCTCATCCTAGAGCTAACTTCAGAGGTAGGTCTGGTTAAGCAATACTCAACTGACTTTTCATAGAATCATAGAATCATCAAGGCTGGAAAAGATAATCTAGTTCAAGTGCCAACCCATCCCAACATGCCCACTGCCCACATCCTTCAGTGCCACATCTCCCTGGCTCTTGAACACATCCAGGGATGGTGACTCCACCACCTCCCTGGGCAGCTGTGCCAGTGACAGACCACTTCTTCTGAGAAGAAACCTTTCCTAATATCCAACCTGAACCTCCCATGATGCAACTTAGTTTTTAACAATATCGTTTTTGAAAGTCTGCCTTGGTAACCGTTGATTGTGTGACTAGCAATAATTTTGGAAGGAAAAAAAAAAAAATCAACTCTTTAAATAGTGTAGTGGGATTGAGAGTGAGCATAAATTGTTCAGCATAAATTACAACCTAAATAAAGCACTACGGGCTCAAATTCAGATATGCAGTAACTAAGAAAGAAGGGGGAAAAAAAAAGAAAGTCAAATAAAAATGTAGCATTTCAACTTGCACCAGTGTTACGCCAGCTTCTGGATGCATAAATGATACTGATAATGAGCCCTCCTGATATATGTTTAAGATTTTTAAAATAGGTGACTCACACCTAAGGCAAGTGAAATGACTGCTGCAGTCCTCGTGTTTTCCGCTTTGTTAAATTCAATCAGCTGTTCATCTGAACAGTTGGAAAGGATACATTTATACGGAAATAACTCTCTTGCTAAACATTTTCCTGTATCAAATATATATTCTGATAAAAATCTACTGAATATTGGCTTACGCTGACCTCATCCAAAACAAGAAAAAACACTGAGGTCCCAAAGGAGCTCAGAGCACAAGCTCTCAGTTTACTGTCATACAGCACGTATCAATTGTACGGAAATGTATAATGCCTTTATAAGTGTATTTTGCAGATCTGGCATTCTAATCTGTAGTTCAATTTAGATAAACAGGATTTTTTTTTTTTTTTTTAATGAAGCATTTAATGGTATTACAGCATTTTCAGAAATAAAAAAGTACTTTTGAAAAAGGTGTCTTAAATATGGGAAACTCCTACAATCTTCCTGAATGAAACCATCATTTCCTAACTTTATGCAATCATGATCAACAGCACGTGTGTCACGGAAACTTCTCTTCTTCTCCAGTATCTTATCCTTCATTAAGACCCTTAAACCTGGTAAGGGCTCTCTAAGCGTATATTCCCCTACACTTCAGCATATGGAAATGACTTTTCCTTACTACTAGTATCACAGCTATCTTACAAAGATACAGTAAAACATAGTGTAGCCAAAGCTGACAAGGAATTCTTGACTAACCCATTTGAGAAGAATTGACTTTCCATTCACAAAGAAAGATTATGCAAAAGCATGGATTTCCTATGCAGAAAGTTCACGATATTACCTTTGATTTCAGAAGTTGCCATGAATTTACTTGTGGAAGAGCATTAGGCATTCTGCAGTTCAACAGTGATCACTAATAAGTTTGGATGGCAGCTGTTGTACATCTGAAGCTAACAAATGTTATGTGGCCAGAGATGACTGGCACGACATGTGTCTGTAGCCTTTTTATACAGTTATGTACTGAACTATTTTAAAAATGTTCACAAAAGTCCTTCAGAAATACCATTCTCAAGAAGTTCATGGAAAAACAAGCCTTTAATATTTACCCCGCTCAGTTAGTTGCATATGCTCACACATTATCACACAGTGATACAAAAGTAATGACAAATTATTTTTCTGGAAGTCATGCCCTCCTTAGCACTGTGACTAGAAGCTGGATTCACTTGCTTGAAAGTACAAGGCATATATTAAATTTCCAGCAATCAATTATCATTTCAGCCTTTGTATCTGTGATCATAAATCCCAGCACATGCCCATATGGACAGACAAAGTGCAAAAACAGAACAGTCTTCCAGGCAAATTCCAAAAGCAAGTGTAAAGTTCAGTAATGAAATATCACTCTTTTCTGTTTTTAACCTCAAGCAGTGGAAGTTTTTTTAAATTTTCCTCAATTTAATATTTTCATAGACATCCTGAAAGCCTTATGTTCATAATCTTTATACTGATAGAAAGTGTCACTATCAGCAAAGTGATGCAAATATCCACCTCAAGAACCTACACAAAAAATATATTCACTCTAAGGACTGAGAGGGTTCTGACAGAAAAATTTCAGAAAATACAAATGATTTTACTTACCTCATACAGAAGAATACATCCCTCAAGATTACTCTGATTGTTTCAGCTACCATATGTGCTTTGCTCCATTTTTACATGAATAAATTCAGAAAGGCTTTTTCCAGGGAAAAGTTGCTACTTTTGCTTTTTATTTTTCTATTTTTCAATACTTGAATTTTTAGTGACTAGATCATACATTTGTACAATGTGAAAAGTCAAATATTTTATTATAAAGTAACTCTGAGAATGAGTCTCTCTCATATATACTCTATTTGCTATTATTTTGCATTAACTGATCTTTAAAGTCAGAAATTAATTTCTTTTTTTTCTTAATAGGAGAAATAAAATTGGAAAGACAGAAGAAAGCCAAAGGCCATCCATTTCTTTGTGTGCTTAGAAGAGCATTTTGTTGTACAGAATGAATAATCTGAAAAGTCTGAAATATTTGCAAAGCTACTGTGCCTTGCTTGAAATATCATTACATGGCCAGTAATGGAGCCGGTGAAATAAAAATGTTAGCACAATACTAGGATACAATTAAACATGAAACAGAATCTATGTCTCATTTCAAGTAACTGCCAGTGACAGAATCAAACACTATGACCACAACTTAAGATTGTTTTTTAACTTTACATTAGTACAATGTGTGGGCTTGTATTTTCACAGGTGAGGGAATATGCTCATATACTCAAGTCTCTATCATCCATCTTCATGAATAACACAACTGCATATATATGCATATATATGCACCAGATATATGTATATACACGTAAATGCATGGGAGCAGAGCCCTTCCTTCAGTTGATATTTTCACACTCAAGGAAGAGAAAAGAATTTCATAGAATTCAAGCTTTTAATTCCATCTTCCATTCCATCGTTATATCACGCGCAATACAACATGTACGAGAACTCTAATATCTGACAAGTCAGGCACAGATAAATCATACTGAAAGACATAAACCATGAGAAGATTTGAAAATTTCTGCTGATTCTGTTTAAAGCAATGGAGAAGCATCTGCATTACACAAGAAATGAGAATTGAAGAGGAAGCTAAAGGAAAAGAAAGACAGAGAGCTGTTGGAGAGGGTCCAGAGGAGGGCCACAAAGATGATCAGGGGACTGGAGCACCTCCCCTACGAAGACAGGCTGAGGGAGCTGGGCTTGTTCAGCCTGGAGAAAAGAAGGCTGCAGGGTGACCTCACTGCAGCCTTTCAGTACCTAAAGGGAGCCTACAAACAGGAGGGGAATCAACTCTTTGAAAGGGTAGATAATTGCAGGACGAGGGGAAATGGTTTTAAGTTGAGGGAGGGAAGATTTAGATTGGATTTCAGGAGGAAGTTCTTTACTATGAGAGTGGTGAGGTGCTGGAACAGGCTGCCCAGAGAGGCTGTGGATGCCCCATCCCTGGAGGTGTTCAAGGCCAGATTGGATGGGGCCCTGGGCAGCCTGGTTTAGCATTAAATGGGGAGGTTGGTGGCCCTGCATGTGGCAGGGGGGTTGGAGATTCATGATCCTTGAGGTCCCTTCCAACCCTGACCATTCTGTGACTCTGTGAAAAACGGGATATTTAAAACATTAAGGTTTGGCCATTGGAAGAACACAGTATGAAATACAACTTGAAGACAAAAGGAAGTAATGTTATTCCATCTGTTACCTGTCATGTGTCCTCATAAAGTCCCAAAACTTCTTAGCGCCATTCTGGGGAAAAAAAATAATAAATGTGTCAGTAAAATTAATTCCAAGTGAGAACTGATTATAATGAAATTGAGCAAAAAAATTTAACAGTTTTAAAAACTTGGTAGAGATGATTTTATTGATGAGATTATTCTGGATTTTGACAGTATGTATTACAGATGCTGGGAACTATCTCAGGGCATTCCAAACCTTAAATACACAATGCCATGCTGACTGCTAATGTACAACACAGTCTTTGGGTCCAACTCTGGCCACAGCATCAACCGCCAATTTAATCACCATGTACCAGGAAGCTATATGCAGCTAATTTTTAACAGTAAAATAACCCACAGATCTATGTTCTCCCATGGTAGCTGTGCAGAAGAATAGTTTATCTTTTCAGGACAGCTCAGCAGTTACCACCAGCTGAACTAATTTAGGATCCAGGCTAAGAAGGTTGAAGCCCACCTACCTAATGTTTCATACTTTGGTTTCTGCTGTCCACCATTAGTACATATACTGACAAAACCAAACCAAACCAAACCACTGAAAATGTTTGCAGAGTTATTTCTCTGACTTCATATCCTACAAAGTAGCGTCCATGCCACTGCCTACCACTTGTAAGTCATCTTGTCTTCCACTCTCTTGAAATGAATGACACCTACCACAGCTGAAAGCAACTCCTAAAAGCACTTTTCCACAGTGACCACGTACACACTTACTTGCACACTTATCTATGTTCTGTAATAACCTACATCAGTCCATACATACTAATTAAAAGAGACATGTATATAATTTAAGTCTATTAGACATGTGGCAATATTTTTCAGCTGTACAACTCAAAGGACTTCCCTCCTAAGTCAGGATTAAGTCTGTGTTACAGAATAGGACTCAAGGAAATTCGTTCAGTTGATACCTTTTTTGTATTAGCAAACAAAAGCCAGACCAGCTGAAGACATACAAACCTTAAATATGCTTCATGTGAAGAGCAGCACAAGCTCTCTGTTATAATGTATACTTAAGCAGATGATCAAACCCTAAGCAACTTGTTAATGATTTAAAGCAGGTAAATGCAAGCAATGAAAGAAGAAACAAGTTCGGTTGGTTGGTAAAGGTGCCAACCAATATAGAAAGGCTCTTCAGCTCTATTACAGATGTCATGACTACCAAGTACACAACAGCTGGTGGGGATTAGATAACAAGCACTCTGGTTCAGAGATTAAGCTCCTGAGCTTTATGAGTTTACCAAGCTTTTTGGAAGAGCGACGGTTTGCTTGCTAGCTGGGTTTTCCTTCATTCCCACAGCTCTAATTATAAACAGTTGTCCACCTCAAGAGAAACTCTAGTCTACTCTTCCATCAATGCCTGTGCATAACTTCTGTAGCACTGTCAGGAATCAAATGTATGCATCAGAAAAGAAGCCATGTCAGTGCTTAAATGCAACAATGTTGAAAGAGAAATAACGACAGCAAATTCTCAGCATGAACTGAAATGCTAAAACCCTTGGCCATCAAGCTGAGTATACCCAATCTGTTCCACCTGGTGACAGACAGAAGAACAACTCTGAAAAGACTATGACACAACACATATTTACAACTTAAAAGCACAGGCCAGTGCTGTGTGATAAGGTAATTTAAGGCATTACATCCATAAATTCTGTTCAATCCTCTCGGAGATTTATTTCTGCATGTGAGATGAATGAATGTCTGGTATTTTTTCTTGCTTGCAGACTGCAGTGCAATCTGCTGTTTGACGTGAGTAATTTGAGGAACTGTGAAATAGAGGTAACACCTTCTGTATGTACCTTCATATCAGTTCATCAGCTTCAACCTCCTCCTGCCACCACAGGTAAGATACCTGCCCATCCATTCTCCTGTTGTAGTTTCTCCTTCCCTTGACAAAAATATGGGTGTCTAACTGATGGAGATGACAGACACGCCTACATCAAGGCTATCCTAGATTAACTGTGATATTACTGTGATATTACTTCCTACAGTATGATCCCAACAACAATCCTCCTGGCTTTTTCCTCTTCCCATCATTTATTATGGGAATAATACTGCTTTGGAGTACTTAAGGAAGGGTTTCATACAGCTGAAGAAAATTAAACCCTGGAGAATGGGCCTTAACCAGATGGAATCCATGAGATCTGAATACCATCTTCTCACAGGTGAGTCCCATTAACATTAGCAGAATCTACCTCATAGGTGTGCATGCAATTTTTAACAAAAAAGGTAAAAGAAACTTAGTACGTAAAAACAGAAATGAATCAGAATCATACAAGATAGCTCTTCTTCTTGTAGTTTGTAAGTGGTTGGACAGCGCATAAAGAACTTTCACTAGAACATAATTCAGTTAGTTTAAGACTCAAACTCAAAACAAGTCACAGGCTAAATTAATTTCAATCTGTCCATTCAAGAAGCTGGTTATGATGATACACTCTGACTGGACAATGTTATTAAGCTCTTGTCTGCCCGTATTTGAATAAAAAAAATATTTTATATGATCAACCTGCACCTGTCCAAATAAAGAAATCAATAAACAAATGAAACATTCCAACATCTCATTGTTTACAATGGCAGAAACTCAAATGAGCACCAGTCATGCCCTACTGTCCAAGTCAAATGTAATTTGAACCCAACCGTATGGAGTTGAGTTCCTATTGTACCCAATGTGTGGTTCATTCCTAACAGACTAGTAGGAAGGTTGCTAATTATTAATAGCATGTAAACAGTTACCAATGGTTCTTATGCTGCTTTACATACTTTACAGAACATTAATTCCAACCAGTTTCTAACCACCTATGTGAAGCTGTATGTAATATCTCTATCTTAGCTGTAAGACAAAAATTTTATTTGCAGAACTGATCAAAATTCACGCTTTCAAAAACTGGGTAGCCATGACTATTTGTTATATTAAACTGCCCCATTCTGTATATTCTGTCTTCTGCCTTTGACAGCACTTCTCTTAACATCCCAATTACAGATCCCAACTGCAAAGAATTAAAAATGCAAGTGATCAACATACTCTCAGGAAACAGCAGTGTCTTTGTGAAATGTAAAGGCTCTCTCAAACACTTAATGTTGTCCATTTTAATACAGATACATTTGTTTTACTGTAAGTAGTCCATTCTCCAATGTCTGCTAAGGAACAATCAAAGTATCTCTCAATGAAGTGTGAGAAGTAAGCATAATACATCCCTGTGAGGTCTTAACATTGACACTTAGTACTTCACATTTAAAACAGATTTTGTTGTTATCCTTCAAATGGGAAATGCATCCTTTTACGTTTTATAAAGTCACGTCAACAGTCGTTTGTATTAGTTTTTATTTGTTCCGAATAGCAGTTTTGATACTTTCAACAGCACTGTATAAAACATAGCTGATTGGTAAGAACAAATTGCATAAGAAAGCTATATCAGGTCAGATGAGATGTCCACCTTGCCTGATACACCACCTTTGACAGTGAAAGGAAAGTTTAGGGATAGAGAAAGCATACTGCAGTGCTTCCCCAGGACACTCTTTCTGACCTCTGACAAAAGGTAGTTGAAAGATGTCAGAAGACAATCCTGCCACAAGGCATCCAAATTAAACACAGTCCTCTCTCCTTTTCCAACCCAGAAAAGCAAGCAGGAATAGCAATTTCTATTCTACTTGCACACACAATAGTTTGTCACAAGTTTGACTTGATAATGCCATTGACAACTTAGAATCAACACTATACTACAAGCTTCCCAGTCAACATAAGAACAACTTGATCTCTTTTGGCTCATGTGATTGCAGGACAACCATGCACTGGAAAGCACTCTCTACTTGGTTAAGTGTTGACAGTAGATTTAAGTTCAGCAGATGTGACCCCTACCAGCAGAGAGCTGTTTATGATGCCACCCATACCTGATCTCCACATTCTCCAGGAAATGAAGACCCTTCCTCCACCTGCTCATTGCCATACTTACAGACAGGAGTCTGTTCACACCATCTATGACAGACAAGTTAGACTTGACTACAGCCTCTGATCAGAATACCATTCTTTTACCCACCTACACCGTCTGGCTAAAATGCCTGGAGACACACTGCACCAGGAATATAGCTGTCCTCTGCCTTTCTCCACTACTTTATGTCATATAATGTCTGAATGATGCAGTCACACTGTCAGGCTAGCAAACACAGAGGATCACTTTTGGTCACTAAAGGAATCCACTGAAGACTTAGCCCAGCCTAGCCAAGAAAGAGTAGAATAAAGACATGAAACATTCACTGCCTCTGATCTTACAGGGCGTGCTCCCCATGTGAGAGACAGATGATGGAGCTTTCCCAAGGACCACCGCACTCCCATTAAAGAATGGGATCTTCTGACAAAGCAGAAGTCTTCAAAATTACAAACGATATGAAGATGGTGGATATGAAACAACTGTTCACTTGTTCCCAAAAGTGAAAAGCACTTTGTCATAGCTGGCTTCCTGAAGAGAAGGGCCAAGGCCTACCTGGATGCTGAACTGGCTCCGCTCAAGGAAGCAGCACAAGGCCAGCAGTCTCCCTTCCTTTCTCTATGTACAAAACGATTAACTGATAGTTTCTGAAACACCCAGATGCAAACTGCATTACACACAGGTTTTAAAACTTTCTAATTTAAGGTTTAGACTTCATGGCCTCACTTTTATGGAATTCTACTCCTAAGAGTAAACTAAAAACACGCCACTATAACAGACATGAGAACGCTCCAAAAATCTCTTTAAATGCTTTCTTTAACAGTAGGAAACAATTGCTACATGATGGTTAGGATGAGGGTGTCTAAAACAACTCCTCAGCATGCAGGTTTACAGTAACACATTTCCTGCAGTGCCTCTACAGGGAGGCTAGACCACTTAAAAAAAACAAACAAACAAATTTAGTTAGAATTGCACCTATTTAAATGACAGTGATCCTTCTTGTAATGAACTCTGTATGGACAAGGTGTGATGGGAGCAGAGAATGTATTTGCCTACGTCCTACTTAAAGCTCCTCTTTTATTTGCTTCTTTAAAGC